GAATGCCGACGAAGGTGAAATTTTAAATTCCGAGTCAGCACACCGTTGGCATAAGTATGTTATTTGCAAAATAAAAATATGAAGAACTTTAAAATCCACGTTTAAGACTACAGGAAGAAATTAAACGGTTAGAGCAAGTGACCCAAAGGATCACGTCTGCTGCAAGAATAGGGTCCGTCCAAGCAGGAAGTCTCAGCATTTACAATGCCCTGGTCTTCTTCGAAGTGAACTACTTGCTAGGAAATAGCTCTCATTTCAAGCTTTCAGAACTCTGAACACCTCTGGAAAAGGTTCTAAAAGCAGGAATCTTATAAGACCCGTGGCAAGAGGAACGAGCCCTAATGAAAGTGATCTGCTCTCACAGGGCTGCCTTGCAGTTCTACAAGGGTGGGCCTCATGGACAAAAATGCCACCCTCCTGTCTGGCCACAAAAAGCCTAGGTGCCGCCAACTACTAGTTGTCAGCAGTCCAACTTCCTCTAGCTTTAACAGTCTCACTTTTCAAATGAAGCTTATGACATTAGCCCAACTTACACCTCACGAGATTGTTGACAGGGTTACAGCTGTAAGAGACACACGCAGCAGCAGCTGCATTATTACGGCCACTTACTGATACTGACCCTTTGGCGTTTGTATTTACTTCTCCTTTTATGACGACAGTCCGTCCAGGGCCCATTGAGGAGTTCAACCTCGCTACAAATGGCAGAGTCTGCAAAGAAACCCCAGTTAGCATCAGGAAGCCTGCAAAAAGGGATCTTGAGGGAAAACTGCTGAAAGACACTGGGAAATGTTTAAAGGCCATGAACCCCATGAAGGGACAGACCAAGTCTGCCTTGGTCCCAGGTGGGTCCCTGGCTCACAGCAAACACTCCATTTTTCAGACAATGAAATGAATGGATGTGGGGAGGGACCTGACATCCTCTGCCTGAGTGAAATGCCCTCTGAGAAAGTCACCTCGGCTGGCCTGAAGCGTGCGCTGCCTTCAGCCCAGAGGGGAAGCGGCTGAGGTTAGGGGGAGCTACAGAAACACACACTAATGGCTCAGGGACCTGATGTCCGGTTGACTGATAGCCGTCCAGGACACCAATGCAAACACAGAGTGGCTGCTTTGGGCTTGTACTGAGGGTAGCGGTTACACATATCAGCTAACTAACACTTAACTTGTTAGAATTAAGAAAATTTTGGCCCTTCAAACCTTTGACAAACAGTCGGTAGGTAGTATTTTGGAGCAAGTCAAAGCGTGACTGGCCGGGGGACCCTTGCTCTTTGTGTTGAAAG